GCACCATCCGGGCGTGCCGGCCGGGCTGTCCACTCCCGCCCCACCCAGACCAGCTCCTCCGGGTTCTGTGTGCCGAGCCTCTATTTCCCTGGGGTCCCCCGTGCCTCAGGCCGCATCTGCGGCCATGCACTGGGAAAAGTCTCCTCGCCGGTGTCCCCGGGACCCCCTTGTAGTTAGCACGGCCATCACACACCAGTCACGCCTGGGGTGAAGAAAGTCGGTTCCCACGGTGCCCGCAAGGGCACCCCCTCATCGAACATCACAGATCGGGGACCACCCCAGCCCGGGCCTCAGCCCAGGGCCGCCTTTCTCAGCCCTGTCCCTCTCCTGCAGCCACTTTGAGTCTTTTCCTGTCGATCAGTTGCTGGTTCCCGGAATCGTGATCTTTTATTTTCTCCAGGCTTCTCATGACCGAGGGATACCCTGCCCCAATTTCAACCGCTGCCAGTCTCCTGCCCGTTTTGGAGTTGGGCTGAGCCCCAGAGTCCTGGGGTTCTATCTATTCCCCCCACCCCTTGCTGGAGCAGCACCGGCATGCAGTAGGCGCTCAGTAAATACTTTTCAGATGCACCAACATGCCTGGCAGGGCCCAGAGCCGGTTGTCAGCTGGCACGGGCCTGCCTGGGCATGCTGTGGCTCAGCCATGGCAAGACCTGTTCTTTGGGAGGGGGTACCGGTAACCTCAGCCCTCTGGCGCCCTTAGTTTAGGCTTTCTGCCTACCCAGCAACTTCTAATTTGGGTGCGTGGTTGGGAGACGCTCTCAGCTGTCAGCCCTGCCTTTGGGGGCTGGCTCCTTGCTTCTCTCACAGAGTCATTAAGTGGTGGGGGCGAGGCAGGCCTCTCCCCATGAGGGGTGCTGCAGGTGAGTGCTCGGCCCTTATCCTGGCTGGCACCCCGGCTCCCTGCATGTCTAGATCCTGGGAGCTTACAGAGGCTGCCCTCCCAGCAGCTCCTCTGGGGGTCCTGGTCCCAGCTGAGTGAGGCCCTTCTTGGCAGGTGGGCAGGAGACCCCTACGGTGCCCTGAGCTGCAGCCCCTGCGGAGCAATGACGGAGTATAAGCTCGTGGTAGTGGGTGCAGGAGGCGTGGGGAAAAGTGCCCTGACCATCCAGCTGATCCAGAACCACTTTGTGGACGAGTATGACCCCACCATAGAGGTGAGCCTGGACGGCTCCGCGCTGGCCCAGCAGCTGCCACGGCAGGCCCACGCTGGCCTTGGGTGGCGGAGCGTCCACACAGCCAGGACAGCCCCGAATGGTGACTGCCTGTCTCTGGCATGCTCCAGGAGACGGAGCCCTGGGAGAGGCGCTGGGGAGGGACTGGCGGTGCAGACTCTTCCCTCGAGGAGGGGTGGGGTCCTGAGCCGTGCCGTTCCGCAGGACTCATACCGGAAGCAGGTGGTCATCGACGGGGAGACATGCCTCCTGGACATCTTGGACACAGCAGGCCAGGAAGAGTACAGCGCCATGCGGGACCAGTACATGCGCACCGGCGAGGGCTTCCTCTGCGTGTTTGCCATCAACAACACCAAGTCCTTCGAGGACATCCACCAGTACAGGCTAGCCGCCTGGGCACCCGGGGGGGCCGCAGGGCTGACCCCGGAGCCCCCGTCATGGGCAGGGCAGGGAGGCCGGCTGGGCCGGGGCAGCCTGTGGCCTACCAGCTGGCTCACACCTTTCCCCCCTCAGGGAGCAGATCAAGCGGGTAAAGGACTCGGACGACGTGCCCATGGTACTGGTGGGGAACAAGTGTGACCTAGCCGCCCGCACCGTGGAGTCTCGGCAGGCTCAGGACCTCGCCCGCAGCTATGGCATCCCCTACATAGAGACCTCAGCCAAGACCCGGCAGGTGAGCGGGCCCCCGCCCGGCAGGCGACAGGGACCAGCCCCGGCCCCCGCCCGGCAGCCGACAGGGACCAGCCCCCGCCACCCCGCCAGGGAGCAGCGCTCACTATCCCCTCTCCCTCGACACAGGGCAGCCGCTCTGGCTCTGGCTCCAGCTCCGGGACACTCTGGGACCCCCCGGGACCCATGTGACCCAGCGGCCCCTCGTGCTGTAAGTCTCCCCGGACAGCAGGGCAGTGAGGGAGGCCAGGGCCAGGGTCTGGGCTCATGCCCTGCAGTCCTGGGCTGACACAGCTCCAGGGGAGGTAGGGGTCCTGGAGAGCTGCCCTGAGCCAGGCCGGAGCGGCGACCCCGGGGCCAGGCCCCTCCTGTCCCCAGAGCGTCCCATGGGCACCAGTTGGTCCTGAGTCCTTAGTGAGGCTGCTGGGGATGCTGACTAGCTCAGATGAAAGCTGGGTACAGGGTGGTCAAGGCCTGACGACCTGGGGTCCAGAGGCTGGGTCCTGGGCCACCCTAGCCCACCTTTGGGAGACTGCTGGGGAGAGAGCCTGCCAATATGGGTGACCCTGGGGACTGAGATGAGTAGGACTTGGCTCCCCATGTGTGGGGGGTGCTGGGGGAGGGTCTGGTGGAGTCTGGGAGCCTTAGGGACCAGGACTTGCCCGAGTCTGAGCAGGAAAGCCCTCAGCTAGCTGGGAGTCCCCTGGGCTCTGTCCTGGCTGGGTGCCCCCTGATGCAGGCTCTCCTTTCTCAGGGTGTGGAGGATGCCTTCTACACGCTGGTGCGTGAGATCCGGCAGCACAAGCTGCGGAAGCTGAACCCGCCCGATGAGAGCGGCCCGGGCTGTCTGAGCTGCAAGTGTGTGCTCTCCTGACACAGGTGAGCAGAGGCTGCCTGGGAGCTCGGGGCCAGCAGCCCTGGCGGGCCGGGGGAGCTGCCCTCCACGCTGATGTCCCCGGACTCCCCGGCCTGCAGTCAGCAGCCTCATTTGTGCCCCACCTGGCATAGGCTCAGGACACGGAGGTGCCAGTTGCAGGGAGGAGGCGCAGAAGGAAGGAAGGACAGACCGACCACCGGAACCAGGCCAGCCCAGGGACCATGGACAGAGGTGTCCATACGCCCCTCCATGGACGATTTGCACAGACTGTTGTGAACTGTCCCCGATGCCACTGGCACCCCTCCTCTTTGTCCCCCACCCTGCCCTCTCTGGGCTGCTGTCCGGTGCAGGTTGAATAACAGTAAATTATTTGATGGTCTTGAGCCAGGCGTCGGGCTGAGGGTGGCAGCTGTGGTGCCCGTGGACCTCACAGTGCACTGGGGACCTCGGCCTTGCTGCGTGGCCTTTGTGAGGGGAGACTGGAGAGGCTGGTCACTGGCCTGGGTTGTCCCCTGTCTTCCCTAGGGTGTCTGGCACTGCCAGGGTGCAAGGACAGACTAGTAGCAGTTTTATTGTTAGGAGGGTATCTCTCATCTCAGC